AAGTCCTCTTGATACAGGATGCCAGCACTTTCTGGGGCCATCTCTTACACAAACCACTTGCCTAGGTCCTGCAGGGGTGGGCCAGGTACACAGGACTGTCATGAGAAGAAACGGAGCTGAGCCAAGCCTGCTGCTACACAACTGTAATCCTAGCTCTCCGGATGCCGAGGAAGAGGATCGTGAGTTTGAAGACAGCCTGGGCTACATATGAAGACATTGTCTCAAAAACTAACAAACAAAAAACCAGACTTGGTGGTTCGCCAAGAAGGAGGAGCCTTGTAAATTCAAGTACAGCCTGGGCTGCATTGCTATTTCTAGTACAGCCAGAACAAAGGGCTTACACAGGCCCATAGACACCACAGACAGGTTTACCCTTTTTTCCCCCTCTCCCTTGCTAAACCATTAGATTACATTACTAAAGCTAGTCCCCCAAGGTCTGTTCTCTTATTTGGTCACTAACTCATTTAGATCCAGCCATCAAAATTCATTATTTGGTTACACTGCTCACCTGTCCAATCAGGACTTACCAACTCACCGTAGCACAGACTTCCCCCTTTCTCCTTAAAAACCAGCTCTGGCAGACAACCCCTGCTGCCTGCTGTCTGCTTTTGCCCAATCCAGAGACAGCTCACCCCTTGTTTGTCCCACTGGGGTAATATATCTCTTTTGTGCTGAGAATTGGATGTCTGGGTGTATCCTGTACCAACCCTGAGGGGTCCTCCAACTCTTACACAGACCCTGTCTCAACAAAACAAAATTTAAAACGGGAACTAGATATTGGGTAAAAAAAAGGCAGAACTCTTTGGAAAATTAAAACAATATTCTGCATGGCACAGGAAGGTTCACGTGGCTTAGTTTATTCAAGTCATTTTGTTATAATGTAATAAAATGGCGGGCAGCAGCCTTGGCAGGTTGGAGCCAGTGGGCCCCACTGACAGACCATGCAGGCAGTACTCACGTGAAGAGTTTTATTGGGGTGGGGGAGAAATGAGAGAGAAAGGGAGCATAGAGCAGCCTTGTGGTAAGAGAGAGAGAGAGACAGAGAGAGAGAGAGAGATAGAGAGAGAGACAGAGAGAGACAGAGACATGGCTGGGGAGAGGGGAAGACTGAAGAAGAGAGAGGAAGAGAAGAAGAGATGAGGAAAGGGAACGAGAGGAGGTGCAGATATGACCTTGTGGGAAGAGAGAGGAAGAGAGAGAGGAAGGTGGGCAGGGCCCCCCTCTTAAAGGGGACTTGGCGCATGCACAAACAGGCTATACAAACAGGCTAAGCAGGATGACATTGTCAGGACCCCGAGTAGGCCAAGGTACTGCCTGCTTACTGGCAAGGTTCCCATGTGGCTGAGCAGGTAATGCTTAAATGCTAACACATTTTACCAGGGCCCCAGAGCATGACATGACAGACCCTTGCTGTCGGTATTGGCCTACCTGGCATAAATAGGTATCAGTTCATAACTTCCCAGGAAGTCATACAGTGAAAAGATAATGAACACAAACATGTTTGGAAAGCCCTGCCCTTCTCCCAGATGCTAAGCACATAGTATCACATACTCATGAGGAACCTTCTGGGCCCTTCCTGAAGCCCCTCCATGGCCCAGGAGTGATAAGCTCTGATGCACACTGGGTAGGGCAGCTCACAGACTGGGGTAGCTGTTGCTGGACTGGGAGGCTGGGGAAGGCATCCAGACCAAGGGCAAGGGAAGAATGTCACTACTGAGTGACAGCAGGGGTGTCTGTGTGATCTCTTCTAAAGAGAAACCAAGAATTTGGAGTGCTGACTTTAAACACGGACAACTGACTTAAATTGTATGGATGAGGGTGTGGCTCAGTTGACAGTGCTTGCCTAGCAAGCACAAAACTCTGGGTTCCATCCTTAGCATTCCACATACTGGCTGTGGTGGCTCGGGCCTGCACTTCTGGAACTCAGGAGGAGGAAGAGGTAGAAAGATCAGGAGTTCAAGGTCATTCTCAGCTATGCACTAAGTCTGAGGCTGGCCTAGGCTTTAGGAGATGCTGTCTTGACAAAACCAAACCAAATTGGACTACCACCACCAGTGAGAAATGGCCCCCATTGGCTCATATATTTTATTTACAATTTTATTTTATTATTTTTAAAACAACTTTTTTATTTTACATACCAATCCCACTTCCCCCTTTTCCTACTCCCCCACCTCCTCCCCACCCCACCACCCATCCACTCCTCAAAGAGGGCAAGGCCTCCCATGGGGAGTTAACAGTCTGTCACATCACACTGAAGCAGGAAAGGCTCCCCCGCACTGTGTCTAGGCTGAGCAAGGTATTCCTCCAAAAAGCCAGTTCATGCACCACAGATAAATTCTGATTCCACTGCCAGTGACCCCACAAACTGCCCAAGCCACACAGTCACCCACATTCAGAGGGCCTTAGTTTGGTCCTATGCAGGTTCCCCTGCTGTCAATCCAGAGTCAGTGAGCTCCCACTAGCTTGGGTCAGCTGTTTCTGTGAGTTTTTCCTGTAGAAGGAGACTGATCTTTTGTTTCTCAGTCTCCCAGCCCCAAATAATTACAGAAACTATATTAATTACAACACTGTTTGGCCTATTAATTCAGGCTTCTTATTAACTAACTCTTACATCTTAAATTAACCCATTTCTATTAATCTGTGTATCGCAACAAGACTGTGGTTTACCTTCAGCCAATAGCCTTTAAGATACCAGCCCACTTTGGGTGTGGTCTCATGTACATTTATAAATGCAGATGAAAAGTGTGTGCGGGCCTCTTGGCTGCTGGATTCCGTTCCAGTTCCCAGAGCATGCAGAGGACTACAGATCACTACTCTTTCTGTGAGTTTATCTCTAAATAAACAAACCTTTGTTATACTCCATTCAGGGCTATGGTAGAACTCTTCTGTGCACCAACATTTCTCATCATGGTCTTTACACCTTAGCTCATATTATTGCTCCTACCTCTCTTTGACTGCATTCTGGGAGCTCAGCCCAGTGCTTAGCTGTGGATCTCTGTGTCTGCTTCCATCAGTTACTGAATGAAAGTTCTATGATGACAAGTAAGGTAGTCATCAACCTGATTACAGGGGAAGGCCAGTTCAGGCATCCTCTCCACTATTGCTTAGATTCTTAGCTGGGGTCATTCTTTTGGATTCCTGGGAAATTCCCTAGTGCCAGATTTCTCACTAACCCCACAATGGCTCCCTCTATCAAGATATCTCTTTCCTTGTTCTCCCTCTCTATCCTTCCCCCAAATCAACCACCCCATTCTCTCATGCTCTCCTCCCCTTTTCCTTATCCCCTCTCATCTTTCACCCTCTGCTCTCTCCCTCATGCTCCCAGTTTACTGAGGAGATCTTGTCTATTTCCCCTTCCCAGTGGGATCCATGTTTGTCTCTCTTAGAGTCCTTGTTACTTGACTTCTCTGGGGTTACAGGGTGTAGGTTTGTTCTCCCTTGCTTTATGTCTAACATCCACTTGTCTCATATATTTTAATACTTGGTTTCCAGTTGATGGAGCTGCTTGGGAAGGCTTAGGAGGCATGACTTCAAAGGATGCATAGCACTGGGATGATCTTTGAAGTTACAAAACAAACCTCATGGGATTCCAGTGTTTCTTTCCTCACTCCCTCTTTCCTTCTCTCCTTGGTGGTCTGATGGTTGCAGATCAAGATGCTACCTCTCAACTGTTTCTTCCCTCTTACAGATTGGACTCTGGCCCTCTAAAACCATAGGCCAAATTAAACACCCCTCCCTTTTCTTTTGTTCTTTGAGACAGGATTTGTCTGTAGTTTTGAAGCCTGTCCTGGAACTAGCTCTTGTAGACCAGGCTGGCCTCGAACTCACAGAGATCCGCCTGCCTCTGCCTCCCCAGTGTTGGGATCAAAGGCGCACGCCACCACCAACCAGCAACATTTTCTCTTTATATGTTGCCTGCGTCATGTGTTTCATTACAGCAATAGAAAAGTCACTAAGACAAAAGTGGGTACCAGGAAGTGAGCTATTTCTGTGAGAGGTCTGGCCACACATGCTGTTTTTGGAGGAAGGTGGAAGACTCTGGACTGTGGACTAGGAAAATAGTTAAATGCTATAAACAAGACTTAATGGGCGATCTGAGTTGGAGTTTGGAGGACAGCAATGCTAAAAGCCATGTGGCTATGGAGGCCTAGTGCAAGAGGCTTTAGAAAAGAGTGACACAGGAAACTGGGGAGACACTCTCCATGAGGGGTGCTGTACTCAGACTTAATGCAGAGAGGAGGGGCTTGGTCCTGCTCCAAATTAATGTGTCAAACTATTGACCCCACCATGGGGGCCTTTACCTGTTGGGAGGATTGGATGGGGGTGGGCTGGGGGGCAGATGGTGTGGAGGGGAAGCAGTGGGGGAGAACCTTGGTTAGAATGTAAAATTAATATAAAAAAATAAATGTTTAAAAAAGAAACTGGGTCGAGATCACAATGCAATAGTTTGGCAAAGAATATGACATTCGCTCTTGTCCAAAGAATTTACCTGAGGCTGAATTGAAAAACTTCTTTAGTGGAGGGGATTTGTTTTCTTCTCTTTCTCTTTCTTTCTTGGGGGGGGGGCTTGAGACAGAGTTTTTCTGTGTAGCCATGGCTGTCATGGAACTCATTATGTAGACCAGGCTGGCCTTAAACTAAGAGATCCGCCTGCTTTTGCCTCGCAAGTACTGTGATTAAAAGTGTGCACTGCCTGGCTTGTTGGAGATTTCAAGATGGCCTACTACTGACTCTACTGTTTAGTTATGGTAATCACTCTTATGCAGGTCTAGAATGAAAAAGAGCAAGTGGGACCAAAAAATCAAATCCTTGCTTTCAAAGTATAACCTAGCCTGCAGCAACAACACTGATTGGAGCTTGCAGGAACACAGAACCAGGGCTCAGCATGGCCCTGGTGGCCTTGTGCCTGGCCACATTTGTGTAACATTGGCTAACAGAGGGCACTAGGAGTGGCTCAGACCCCCATGAGGAGCCCCTGCCCAGGACTCAGACCTGGTGGCTCATTTTAGTATCCCAATTTATTCAAGTATTAGAAAATTCCTTTAGAGAGCAGGAGAACAAAAATAGAAAGTCTGTAAACATGGCGACTTCCTTCCTCCCCATCCCGTCTTATGAGGAGCTTATGTGACAGGTTGCAGAATTCTAGTTGGCAGTCTGGCAATGAGGCTACATAAGGGCGTACACCGTGGCTGAGCCGGGGGTAAGTCTTTCTACTCTACCCCTGTGCAGGTGGTCCAGGCGAGTTGACCACTCTTATCATGATTAGGCTACAGAATTTCATTTGCTAGTTGCTTCCTGGGAGTCTTTGGCAGTGGCGAGACCTCTGTGGGAGACAGGTCTCTGGGCAGCAGACACAGGCAGGCGGGGAAGCAGGTGCAGGCTCTCCAGAACTCTGCATTGCTGGGGTGGCATGAGCCACAGCGTGGGGACAGGTGGGTCATGGCCAGGCAAGGAGTGGAGCGTGCAGCATCCATGCCAGTGGCCTCACATCCCTCCCCATAAAACTGAGGAGCAGGGACAGCGTTTGGGGCATGCCATTGGCAGCCCAGGTCTCTGTCAGTCCTTGAAGGGGTTGCAAGTGTCTTCTGTCTGTTCCTTCTCTGCAGCCAGCAGCTCCCCGTTCATCTCCTGCAGCGGGTGGTACACATAGTCCCCGTCGAGGTGTCGGTTCCTCTCGGCCTTGGAGCCCAGGATCAAGCTCACATTGACTACAGTGCTGATCAGCAGCAGGACAACTAGGATGAGGGTAAGTACCAGCCACGTGGTCCTAGGACAGAAGGGACACTTGAGAGGGTGGCTGGGGAGCATTCTCGGGGCAGTCAGAAACCACTCGGGGAATGTTGGGCCCAGTGGCTTGGGTGGGAACTGGGCATACTGCAGACACATGCAGGAAATAAGAGAGGCATTTTCTGATGTTTTAAGGATGTTAAAAACATTTCAGGAGTTGGGGAAATAGCTCGTGACTGTCTTATAGACATGAAGACCCAAGTTGAATCACTAGAAGGTACTTTTTAAAAGCCAGGATCAATGGGACACACTGCCAACTGCACTGCTTGGAAGGTGGAGCTCCTGGGCCAGCTCGTCTAACCTAATCTTTGAGTTTCAGGCCGACGAAAAACAAGGTAGACAGCTACTAAGAATGTACACGTGCGTGCGCACGCACATACACTTCTAATGTGAACATTACTGCTGTTCAGATGTCACTAATGTATTTTTTTGAAGTACTGGGAGTTGAACCTAGAGCCTTGTGCATGCTAGGTAAATGTTGTACCACTGAGCTACAACCTTAGACCCCTTTTTACTTTTTTATGTTGCAACAGGGTCTCATTAAGTTGCCAGGGTTGGTCTTGAACTCGATCTGTAGCTCAAGCTGGCCTTGAGTTTACTGTCTTCCCACTGCAGCCTCCCAGAGTAGCTGGGATGACAGGCTTATGCCAGAAGGCCCAGCTCATGAATCTGTTTATTTATTTGGGGTCTTATGCAATCCCAGATTGGCCTTAGACTCCTGATGACCTTAGATTTCTGATTCTCCTGCTTCCACCTCCCAAGTGCTGGAATTAAAGGCATGGGCCAGTACACCTGGCCTAGAAAGGGCTGGGGATTATACCCAGAGCTTCTGGCATGCTAGTCAAACAACCTGCCAATTGAGCCACATCCACAGCCTCACAATCCTTCCCATGAGCCCTCTGGGGATGGAGTTGGAGATCCAGGAAGCAGCTAAAAGGAAGCAACAGCTACCCAAAGCCTCAACACATGGACGAATTCAAAAGTGAGGCGAATCCTATCTCTACAGCCTGGCTTCCGATTCTGAGTTGAGTCTCTATGGCCAGGGAGATCAAGCCCATAGTCTGGTCTGGGTCCTTCTCCCTTGCACTCACGGATGCCAGTCTCACCCATGCCTATCCTTGATCTCACAAAGTAGAGGATCATCTGCAACCTCTGGGCTTGGCTGGTGCCTGGATAGATGCCAAGCGTCATGGATGGGGTGTAGGGGCTCGCCTCTGCTGAAACGCCTACCTGGTGAAAAAGGCCAGCTCTCCTGCCCTTGGTGTGGCCTCCGTTGACTGGAGACACTGCTTCACTGTAAGACACCAGATAGAAGATGCAGAGTTTGGGGACAGTTTGCCTACCCCAGACCTGTCCCAAGGATTCCAGGAGGCCCTGTACCTTGTGAGACGCTGCAGTTGCCAGTCTGGGGGTCGCAGGGACACTGGTGATCACACTGGCAAGGACTCTGGCAACCTGGCCCATACCAGCCCAGAGGACACTCTGTGGAGAGGAAATGGTGGCAGACAGGTTTCACCTTAGAGGGCAGAGTCTATTGTTATTGAACAGCCTGGCTTCTGGATGTGTGCAGGGCCATGCTGAAAGAGATGTTCCCTGACCCCTGGGGTCAGCTCTCAAAGGTAACCCAGTTGCAAACAGGGTTGTGGTTTCAGTTTCTAGAGTGCTTGCCTGACATTCATGGGACCCTGGGTTTGATGTCCAGCACCCTATAAGCTGGGCATGGTGGGAGGTGGAAGCTGGAAGCAGCTGTTCAAGGCCAACCTTGGCTACATAGTGGGTTAGAAGACAGCCTGGGCTGCATTAGGACCCCATTTCAAATAAAAAAACAAGCTTATCACCTGACTTTAAGGGGGGGGGCTCTAGAGCTGATGACCATAAAAGAACGAAGAGACAGGGAATGGGAAGTGAGGGAATGGGAAGTGTGCCGAGGCTGACCCCAGAGTGACACCATCCACGCCTAGGAATACCAGGGGCTGCCTTCAAGGTGTTAAGGACTTTGGTGGATCTCCTTCAGAGCTGTGTCCTGACCACACCTTGTTTTTTGCTGTTGGTCTTTGGAATTGAGTGGACAGTGCTGAAATCCAGGCTCCTACTTGGTGGGAATTTTTCAGCAAATTCAGGGAGGACATAAAGAGATTTGCATGTGAAGTGAGAAGGGGCTCTGAAGGCGACTTCCAGGCCAGCAAGAGGAACGAAGGCATTGCAACAGCTGCATGTCGCCAGGCCACCCTCTCCAGGAGCTTTTGCAGGCCACTGCAGCGCTCACCTTCACTGCAGTTGGATCCCATCCATCCAGCATCACAGCGGCAGCCAGCTGCAAAAGACCACAGAGGCCAGGTGAGGGCAGAGGCAGGCCTGGCGTGAGAGAACTGGGGTCCCACCAGAGCGCCACCCTCCTCGTGGGCTCCCCACTCACTCTCTGTGCACAGCCCATGCTGGCTGCAGTTGGAGGGGCCACAGTCTAGCTCGTTGCAGGCGGCACCCCGCCAGAAGCGGCTGGTGCATTCACAGCGGCCATCCACACAGGTCCCGTGGCCACTGCAGTTGGGCGGCTGGCAGTGGGGTTCATGCACACATACCACGGTGGACACACGGCGAGGACAGCGCCACATGTTGTCCTGGCTGTGGGGGATTCATTGTGAGGAGAGGTCTTGGCCTTGGTGCTGGCCTCTTAAGTCTCTGCGGCAGCCTATGGAGGCTGCTCCAGCTTGCTTCCATCTCCATCCTGACCCTTGTGCTCCTGCATGTGTACGTATGTTCGCGCACACACTAGGGGATGCACATGAGCGTGTGCATATGGAGTCAGGACAACCTTAGGTACCCAGCATTTATTTTATTCATTTTGTTGGTATCTCTCTGGCCTGGACCTTGCTAAGTAGGCTAGGCTGGCCGGCCTGAGTGTCAGGTCTACCTGTCTCCTCCTCCAAACACCGGGATTGCAAGCATGTGCCGCTGACATCTGGCTTTTAAATGTGGGCTCTGGAGCTTGAACTCAGGTCCTCTGCTTGCAAGACAAATCTTTCTCCTGTTGAGCAGTAGCTCCAGCCTCTTGTTGGGCCATTTACAGGCTCTCCATCTTGCATACACTGTGCCTTCTGGCAGAGGGCTCGCTCACTGCTGGCCAGCCATGGCCTCGGCTCCTACTTCACTATCCTGACCACTGTCCCAGGTTTCTGCAGCACACTGAGGAAAGAGAACTTGGCTCACAGCCAGGCAGTGGTGGCACACACCTTTAATTTCAGCACTTGGAAGACAGAGGCAGGTGGATCTCTGTGAGTTTGAGGTCAGCCTGGTCTACAGAGTGAGTGCCAGAACAGCCAGGGCTGTTACACGAGAAACCCTATCTCGAAAGACAAGACAACACACAAAAAAAGCGATCTTGGCTCTTCTGTTCACCTTTGGAGACCCAGGGCCTGGCATAGAGCAGGTTTCAATATTGACTGATTGAGACAGCTGAAGATAGGTCAGGGCTTCCACTCTCACCAAGGTGGCTGAGGTGCTCTTACCAGTGATCCGAAGGGTAACTGGCCAGGCTCCCGTTGAGCACAAAGGTGGCAGAACCACCTCCATCCAGGTTGATGGCATTGACCACATCTTGTTTCAGCAGGAACTCCGCCATCTCCCATAGGTTGATGCTGTGCAGAGGGGGTGTACAGCTGAGCCCCCACGGGCTCTGGCTTCACCATCTCCCTTCGGTCAGCAGGTAAATACTATCACCCTATTGGGGCAGGTGAAACTTCTAGAATGGCTCAGGGCTGTCTTGTCCCACCCACTGCCCAGAAACTATCAGAAGGTGGGGTCAACTGAGCACAGACATCCCCGAGGATTCCTGGGACTCACCCACGCTGCTCCGTCTGTCCATCTGCATGGAAGAGTACGAGCTGCCCCTTACGGTCATGACCCACAGCTGTCCTGGCCGATATCACGTTCACAAATTTGCTAAAAGAACCTGAAGGAGAAGAGGCCTGGCTGGTTACCCAGACCTCCAGGGTCCAGGGGACCCTCTGTGCTCTTCAACTTTCTCTCTTTTGACGGTGCTCGGGAAGGAACCCAGCACCTTATGTATGCAAGGCAAGTACTGGATCACTGAGGCACACCCCAACTCCACCTTCCGTGAGCCTCCATGACACAGACAGAAGACTCTTCAAATGACCTCAGTCTCCATTAGAAACTTCCATGTTGGTAGAACAAAACACACAGGACATGCATGAAGCCCTGGCCCAGTTTCTGTGGTTCCCCCTCACCTAGCAGCTGCTTTCTGCCTTAGGGCCTTGCACTCTGCACTCTCGGAACTGTATGCCTCTGCCCTGAGTTCTTCTGACAGCTTGTTCTTTAGATCCAAGACAGTCTCCCCAGTCATCCCCCACCCCCGCCACTCTCTACCCTGAAACAGCAGAGACTCTCAGGAAAAAGCATCCTCTCTCACCCCAGCACTCTGCACTCTGGAGGTGTGCACGCATGTGTGTTCGCATGTGCACACGCCTATGAGGGGGCAGAGGACAGCTTTGGGTGTTGCTCCTCGGATGCTTTGCACTTTCCGTTTGAGACAGGGTCTCACCATGTAGGTTAGGTTATCTGGCTGTTCTGAGACCCACCCATCTCCACCTCCCAGCTCACTCTCCCTGGGACTGCAAGCATGCACCCTGGCATTTGACCTTTTATGTCTTTTCTGGGACCCGAACTCAGGCTCTCACGCTTTCAAGGCAAACATTTTACTGCCCAAGCCAACTCACCAGCCACACCCAAGTGGCTCTTAGGACTTAACCGGTGGTTCCTGAGTGGGAGCTCTAAGGCTGTGGGCTCTTGGTTCTGCCTTTGTGACAAGCTCCACGGCTGTGCGGAGGCCACCATCCCACAGATCTGCAGAACTTTTCTCGTACCTGTGCACCTGTTCCCCACCAGTCCCCTTTCTCCTTCTTTCTCTTTTGGCACTTACCAACTCTTTCCAGCTTATTGCCAAATATTTCCCTTCTAAGAAAGACTGAAGTCCCACGACTCCCGCCATAGCTGTTCAGTAAATGTTCGGGAACACTGAAGAGTAGCCTACTCACACTGTTTCCAGGTCTCAAGAAAGCTGGTGCTAGGACCAGGAAGGTGGCTCAGAGGGTAAAGGTGCCTCTTGTCACACTTGACAGCCTGAGTTCAACACTCAGGACTCACACAATGGAAGGCGAGAGTTGTCCTCTGACCTTCCCCACATACTACGGCACGTGTCCCCCTCACAAAGTAAATAAATCAAAACATAATAACAATAAAAAAGAAAGCACTACAGCTGCCTCCCTTCCTGACCTGTCTCCTGCGTCTCATCACACTCGATGGCTTGGCTCTCGTTGATGTAGATGCTTCCGTTGCGGACGAGCCACACAACTCCACTCAGCAGCTGCATGAATGGATTTACGGTGTCCAGGACCTCCTCCTCAGATAGGTACCTGGAAGCAGGAAGGCAGGAGGCTCACTCACGGGCAGGAACAACTCCAGGTTTTTCTGTCATTTTCTTAATTCATTCACTAATTAGCGGCTGTTAGACTCTGCTGTCCTGGATGCTTAAGCAAAAGTCAAACAGCCAATCAGACAAAGCCTTATGTCAGCACCAGTGGTCTAGAACACTCCATAGAGATTTCGAGGCAGTCACGCAAAAACTACACCAATTGCTCGGGTTTCTGGAGGCCTCAGTCAGGGCTGTTTGAAACAGTTTGTGCCAAAGTTTTTGCTGGGTGACCCTGTAATCATTTCTACCTAGGTCAAAGGGAGAAGGTATCCCCTGGTAGCCTAGCAGGACTAAAGGGCGCCAAAGAGGCAAGGTTGTGACTGACGCAAAGGCAAGCTTTTATTCGCGTGCTAGGTGTGCTGTGACTGGTGCAGACACTCTCCTCTGAATGTGCAAGAGGTTTTCAGTTGAGTTGGGGAGTGAGCTAGAAGATACTCTCTTGTGCTGCCTCCCCTGTGCGTCTACATTAGACACCATGAAAGAATCTTCTTCTCTTGCCATCTTTAGTAACATGTACCGACCTGATAACACAATGAAGTAGCACTGCCGGAAGGCAGTGGCGCACTCCTTTAATCCCCATACTCGGGAGGCAGAGGCAGGCGGATCTCTGAGTTTGAGGCCAGCCTGGTCTACAAGAGCTAGTTCCAAAACAGGATTGTTACACAGAGAAACCCTGTCTTGAAAAACCAACCAACCAAAAAAGGAAGAAGTAGCACTGAGCTACAAACGGACAGAAGAGGCAACTGCTTGGCAGCTAACAAGTAGGGAGATGGACTGCAAAGATAGCTCAGTGGATAAAAACCTTTTCACCCAAGCATGAGGACTCGAGTTTAGATCCCCAGCACCCATGTAAAAGTGGGGTGAGGCAGCGAACATCTGTAATCCTAGCGCTGGGGATGGACTAGGGAAATAAGAGGCCAGGTGGGGTTTGCTGGCCAGCCAGGTTAATTGAATCGGTGAGCTCCAGATTCAGACTTTTTATCAGCAAATAAGACAAGAGAACAAGAGAAGCCACTTGAAATCAAACTCTGGCCTCCACACATTGGCCCAGATGCACACATTCAAAAAAAAAAAAAAAAAAAGGAGGTGAGTGGTGGACCATCATAGAAAGAGCAGGAGGGGTAACTGAGACAGAGGAGGCCACGGCAATAAGATATCTGAACAGTCTGAAAGGCAAGCCCAAGAGGTGAACAAGAGAGACAGTGGAAGAGTGGAGAGGATGAAACACTGAGGTTGAAGGACAGAGTCAGGGAAGAGAAACTGCAGGCGCTGGTCACTGGAAGAACTTTTAGGGTCTCTGACAACCAAAGACCAACAGTTGTGGCCCTGGCTGCTAATGAAGGATGAAGATCGAGAGGCCTGGGCAGGCCCAGAAACTGCAACCAGGGGCTGCTAAGAACTGGGGAAAGCCCACTTTCCAGCCTTAGCAAGAACTGTTCATCTCGTAAGAGAGCTTGGACACTAGATGGTGCAATCTTCTACTCCTGCCTGCCTGCTGCCACTTCTGGTTGCTGTCAAATTTCAGTGGTACAGAAACTGTCAAAGAGGTCACTCGACAAGCTTCTTGCCTACCCACGATTTCTATCCGGGATAGCAAAAGGCCTCCAGCTAGCTGTCTGGGACTTCTCCATAAACTCTATATTATTTCCAATTGGGTCCATGGCTTCGCTGAACATGAAATGTTTGTTTTCTCTATTCCTAGGGAAAGTTCACTAAGGCACAAACTGTGCGTTCAGGCTCATGGTCGCCTACCCAGGA